AGGGCCAGCCCGGGCGCTCCGGCTTTTTGACATACATGGGCAGAGGAGGGAAGCGAGCGAGGGGAGGTGGGGTCCGGCCGCCGCCTTCCCCCGGCTCCCGGCGAAGGAGGGTGCAGATGGGGACACGGGGACAGGGTTCGGGGGAGGGAGAGGCTGCGCCGGTGCGAGCTTCCCGGGGGTGGGAAATGGTCACCCCGGCCTAGGGAAGGGGGTGTGGAGGGCGGTGTGTGACCTCCGGACAGCTCTGCTCTGCTGCTGGCGAATAGGGCTGGTGAGCTACTTGTTTCGCTTTGCTTTTCTTTAGAAATATTGCCAAATGCCGTTTGCTTTACCGCAGGTCTTTTTTGCCTAATTATAGAGTAAGGCCCTCTGTACAATCCGTTAGTTGGTTTTGCTTTCCAGAAGGTTTGGATGGTAGAAGCTTAAATGTTAACAGAAGTAGTTCAGTTTGCTTGCTCCCGTGATTCAAACTGTTTATGTGGAAGGAGAGGAAGAGCAGCCGTGGTGTAATTTTCTGGCCTTTAATTACTTCACATAAGACAAAGCTACTGTGTAGGTTCTGTACCAGCTAAACAGGCAGATGGCTTTACAGAGTTGGTCATTGAAAACCTGGCTTGAAATTGCTAGGCTTTATGCTTAGGCTAGCACAGATTTCCTAGAAGTTAGCTGTCTCTTGGGAGTATTTTTCTTGGCTGGAACTAAACTGCTGACCTCAAAATACTAATTTCAACCTGTGTTCCTTGAGAATTTCAATCTCAGCACTCGCTCTTGAAGGCACCTGACAAATCTTTTTGTCATCTCAGAGTCACTTTTATCCTTGAATTAAATATGTACTTCCTTCACAAAGACAAGTATATAATTTATAGTTTCAAGTATACAGGTCATGCAAGCAGAGTTCTCCAGACCACAAAATCTCTACTTAGTTTAAGATCAAACCTTTTGGCAACACATATAGTCGTCTTTATCATCTCAAGTGTTTTGTTGGTGTGTACTGACGCACTCAGAAAGACCTATTTAGCTTCTACAGTCCAGCTTGCTGGGCAGCAGCTTGTGGTCTTTTCCGTGGATGAAAGAGAACTTGCCACTCATTTGCCTTGCTGTGGCAGTAATAATAATGGTACATCAGATGCATTGGGAAGGCTGCTTTTGTTGCTGTAGCACCTTGTACTTCCCCTTCTGTTAAGTTTACTTTTCCACTTGAGATAAAACACAAACAGTTGTTGAAGGAAGGAGGAGAAAGGAAGCAGTGAGTTCATACACTGTGTACATTACATGCTAAATTTGATTATTTCAGAGAACTTTAAATTATTCTTCTTCTGCATAGAAGTTGTGCTTACCCTTTACCAAATTAATAATAAAATGAGTATTTGCACTGGAACATCTTTATCAGTGCAATGTGTATAATTGAGCAAATGTGGTAGTCCATGTTGCTGGTGGTGCTATTGGGTGAAGAGAGTATACCAGGGTATGTGTTTTGGTTTGGCCACCGTCAAAAGCACTGTGAAGGAGCCACTGCTCTTTCATTTATAAAAGACAAAGCAGCTGATCTTTCTTAGCTGTTTGAAGGAATTGCCATGTGCCTCCATCTGCAAGGAGGGATGTATTTTGAAGTAACTAATTGCATGTGGGTAAAGCAGAATCAGTCACGCTAGGCCCTTATGAATGTAATAGTAGGGAAATTAGTCATGTAAAATAATAAGTAGATGAGCAGAAATGCTACTGGGATGGAATGTAAAATTATCCATAAAGAGGATAATAAAACGTAAAAGAATCTCACATCAAAGTAGTGACTGAATCCTGTTTGACTTGTTGATCCTGGCTTAATTGGTTGAAAGTTTCCTGAGACGTGCATGTATGGTATGTTCAGTGATAGTTACACACATGAGAAAATAGACCCTGGTCTGTCATCTTTTGACTTTCAATTTAATGTGGTATTAGTTTGTAATAGAGGCCAACCTGACTCTAGTTACTGGAAGAAACTGTTAAGGTCACCTGACACAAGAAGGAAAAAAGTAATACAAAAGGCTTAAAAAGTGTCAGTGAAAGAACTTAGTCAAAGCGTTGTTACAATGACCTCTGTTTGTTGGTTTGTTTTTTCTTGGGTCGTGTTATATTAAACCAAACATGTAATGTAAATATATTTTGTCTTTTCACGATATGTTTGTTACCACAGTTCCTTGTTTCTGACTAAGTCTTTTATTAAACTTATCATTTAAACAGCATAATTTCAGAATTATTTGGCTGCTTTTACATCCTGATCTGCATTTTACTCATGGAGAAAGACTTGTAGCAGTATGAAATTGCTAGCACAATTAATAGGCTTCAGTCTAACCCCAGTGAGGGTGAGTACAGGGAGTTAGCTTTAGCATAGGCTGTCAAGCGATGAAAGTACTTCCTCCCCTTGCCTTCCCTTCCAAGTGCCCAGCCAATATATTGTAGCAAGTCTTCAGTTCTGCAAGTTGACGCTCTATGAGTAAGAGCAGAGGAATGGTGGCATGGAAGAAGTCCTTTATAATCTTGCAGATAATTTTTTACGAGGTGACAAGCTAAGCTTTTTTTTAAATTGAGCCAACAAGATGCATCCAAACAGAAGCTGCGGAACACCCCAGTGTTAGTCCTGTATTCCTTGTCTTTCCTTTGAGTCTTGTTTTTCCTTAGCTACCTCTCAGGGCTGGGCGCTCACAGAAGAGGCTAGTTACCCTTCCGCCATATAAATGATTTTCTTTGGATGGAGTTGTCAAAGTAATTTTATTACCAAAGTTCTCCTACCTCTTTGAAACCTAAAATGCTGCCAATTTTTGTAAACTTGCAAAAGGGAATCTAAATGACAGGTTCTATAGTCCTCATGTAATTTATATAGCTGATGGGGGTCTCTAATGATTTGTTAGATAATTATTAAAAAATTGTTCATGAAATTTATGAAAGTATTCAATGAAGCAAATACTTGTGCTGCTTAAGTGGTTGAAGTGAGTTTGCTTCCTAGTGTGCTTGAATGATGTAGTTAATTAAAATAACTGAGTGTTTCAGTCTATTGTATTGTGCTCAGTTTGTCTTTCTTCATTACATTTATTTCTGGGCATCAAAGAGCACCTTTTATCTGATATTTTGGTGGCAGAACCAGTTCACTGTAGTGCTATTGTATAAATTAATTTGCTTTGCTATTAGCAAACACGCAAAAGTACAGTTTAGAAAAGGTATATCGTGTTACTAGGAGTAACAAGCTTTTGATTAGTAAATGGCTAGATGATCTGATTATCTTTTTTTTCCGGTGTATCTAAGGCAGGTATTATCGTTTGTTCCTATAAATTCACTCAATGTTTGAATAGCAGCTTTTAAAAGTTATTTTAAGAATTATCAGAAGATCCGACGTTGTCAATCACCCCAATCCTGAAGGGATAAAATATTATCTTTGCAAACCTGCTGTCTGCATTTTAGTCGTATATAACAGCATATGTAATTTTGTATGGTAGCTTTGGGTTTTTTTGTTCTGTTTCTAAACTGAAGACTTGTTATGAGAGAGAAATCTGTCCTGCTGCCTAGAGACTAAGACATAGTGCTGGCTTGCTGTGCTCTAGCCTGGGCTTCATTTAGACCATGAAAGCTTTTGTAGAAATTTAGTCACAGGTTGCAGCTTTCTTTCTGTAAAGAAGCCTAGAAAAAAATGAAATGAGAAGTCAAATGCAAGGTAAAAAATAGTATAATGATGAATTAATCATGTACTGGGGATTATTTTCCCCTATTGCTTGTTTTGCTGAAAAATGGTGTGGTTTTGAATGTAAATAGGTAGAAGGACACAGGTGTCATAACTTGCTGCCTTGGTTAATTGTTTAAATAGTGTGAAGGAGGTTAATCTAATGTAGTTTTGCTATAAAATGCTAGAACTATTGCAGAAAAGGATGTTAGCATGATTACTGTTTTTTTTCCATTTCCCAGAATCCTGCATCTAAATCCATGCACTGGATTTATATTATTATATATTCCATGGGCTTGCCGGGTTTGCAAGACTTGGACCTTTTAACAATAGATTTCAGTATAGCTTTCCTCGTATAAAAAATGGATTTATGAAGTTTCAAACTGATCATTGAAAGGAAAATGTACAAGTTCAACAAACGTTCCACTGAACTTTTGGAGAGCTGTTCTGCTGGGCAATTTCAGCCACCTCCTGAAGCACTTCTGGTATTTCTGTGATGTTGCTTCTTCACTGAAGGAAATACTCATGCAGTCCAAGTAAAATTAAAACTTGAATATGGTTTAGAAGTCTTAATAGCATAAACCATGTTTATGTCAAAACTCGAATGTGTTCCACCTTTGTTAATAGACTTCATGTTCAGAAGCAATTGGCAATATCATCCCTCTCTTTTTATTAGAAAAAAATACTTGCTGACTAGTTATTTGCAGAACTTCCAACCATCCATTCTGAAGTACTACTATTGAAAGAGTAATTTGTCTTGTCATCAGGGCTACTTTAGTGTGATACATTTTTATGCACAGACTTTGCTTCTCTTAATCTCATCCAGTCTGCTCTTCCTTTTCTGTTACTGTTGTCCCCAGGGATTGCTGCTGCTTTAGTGGTTCCAAAATTCATTTTCCATTTCTCAGAACTGTTGTCCTCTCTCTCTTGATGTACTGCACTTGGCATATTTGCACATCCGTGTCTTTCTGCAGAAAATATCTTGTGTTTAGCATGTGGTGTATTAAGAGGCTTGGAAGAGTCATAATAAAAAAGGCCTTGAAAGCTGTTTTCTGTTTTCATGTGGAAGGCACCTTGCTGGATGGAATTCGGTGATTAGAAGGTGGTCATTGGCAATTCATCCTTGATTTTATTTTTCCCTCACCCCCTCAAAACTCAGCTGAAACCCAGCAAGCAAAGTAATTGAAGATAATTATTTTGTCAACATAGTGTGCCAGTACTAAACAGGTTACCTTTCAGCATACGACTGAATAAGCCATTTTCTTTAATACAGCTAGGTAGGAATTAATTGAAATAGTTTATATGCAGGTGCTTGTTGGGTTCTGCTGGAGCCATGTGCTAAAGATGCCATTTCTGGGTATTCAGCACTGTTACGTGGTGTTGAATCCAAACACTGGAGTAGTGTTAAGCGTAGAGCTTTTAATCGAGATGCACTCAACAGAATGTTATGTCTGAACAGTGGCTCTAGGCCTGTTCATAACAAGATAACAGATGTGACCTGTATAAAACCTGTAAGTAAACATTTTGTTCTTTTACTCTTCCTTTACCCTTTATCTTCGCTTTCATGCTTCACACTAAAATCCACCTCCCACGTGATAAGACCCAGAAAGCTGGTCAGGAAGGATCAGTTGAATTTGGCTTTTTTTGAAGGACAGGGAACTCTGTGGAGTTGTTTTTGGAGAGGGAAATACGGAATGTGGTGAGATCTTGGGCCTCTGAGTTCAGAAAAGGCATCATCAGCTAGGCAGTGTGTTGCCTAATAGTTTTCTTTCCATTTACTGTGCAGATGCATCTTCCAGGTCTTGAATTACTACATACAGATAAGAAAGATGCCTTAAAACAAGTTTGGTCTCATTGTACTTAATTCAGATAGCCTCTCCTGCCACCTGGAATAATATTCCATGACTAAGATAGTGCAGCAACATCAAGTCTTTTATTTTTGAATCCCTTGCTACGCCCTGGTGACACAGAGTAGAAGTTCTTGCAGAGCAGTCCTTCAGCAGCAATTTAAGTAAAAGTGCTGTGGGATGGAAAAAGGGCTTCAGCAAGGTAATTGAACAGCCAAAGAGAGATGCATGTACACAGACTACTGGAGCACAAACGCTATGGCCAGTCAGTTTACCTTTGCAGATAATTGGCAGTTTTATTGGAGAAAATTACAAATTCGTTTGCTGCTCCACCTTTGCAGCTGTTGGTCTTGTTTTGTAAAGGGCAATCAGTTTACCTGTTGAATGACAGGTAAAAATTATGGTTGCACAGTCACTACATGTTTCTGAAAGCGCTCAGTCTAAAATGAATTGAGGGTCTATAACAAGAAAGAGGCAGTTTGGGGGTGTTTTGTATTTGTTTTTAAAAAGGAGATCTGTAGGAAGTGGAAGAAAAAAACCTGTTGGTAAATGGTGCAGCAATGGTCACAGGCCCATCAGGATTTGCTGAATTCACATTTATGTGGTGTGCAAATTGTATATAGCAGTATTGATATAATTTACAGTGGAATATGTAGTGTACATTAGTTTATGCTTTTAACATTCACAGCATATTCCAGGAAGCAGACAGAGAGGCTTTTCAGAGTCACTGGGGCACGAGGGTGGGGTTCCCAGTGTGAAGCTGTGATAAGGAAGATTAGTCACTGGATGTGAAAGAGATAAGCGTTGAGGAGGTGATGTTATCCCTGTATGAAATAGTAATCCACTAGTGATTTTAGTCATGTTCAATGTTTCAAGCTTGTCTTGAAATAAAATACTGAATAAGATGTTTCAAGGAGAGGTTGTGACCACTTCACTATGGGAAAATATGCACTGGAAGAGCAGAACCAGGGCTTAACAGGAGTTAAGGGGTGGTTTTCTCTCAGTTCTAATCTCCAAGAAAAATTGCCTGGTACCAGTGTTTTGGGTTTTTTTTCCCCCTGAAATCACAATGCAAAAAGTAGAACATAATTGGGATGGGAAGGGAAAAAATGCACAGGATAAGAAAATTGGATTAATGTACAAAAGGGTAATTGCACATGCGTTAAAATACTTAGTGAGTTTAAATATGCTCTCTTTTTCAATGTAGGTTATTGATCCTAGATCATTAGGCCTAATGATGATGCTATATGTATCAAAGAGTGAGTTATTTGCAAGCATTATATTGCTTCCTAGCAGATATTACTAGTAGAAGAATAATGGACTCTGGCTCAGGGGGTCAGACAGAATCATCGTTATAGTTTAGGTCTTGGCTCAGCATCTTTCTGAAAATGTATGAATGTCAGCTTCATTGCAAATGCTCATGTTCTTATAAACATATCCATTGTGGAATTTGGGCACTAACGTTCCTTATTCTTAATGTAATTTTAATAGTAATTTTCTGTTTTCACCTTATTTTTTTCATTGCTTTCCTTGATTATGAACAATATGGCTAAATTTGGTTTGGCAATTGGTTAATTGCTTATGAAAGGAAATTACCAGGAATTTATGAATATGTAGTTGCTTCTATGTTTTTTCCATGCTTACGTAATGATGTATTTTGTAAATTAGTTCTGTCTTATAAATGTGACTTCTAATAGGATAACTTTTGTAATGTGTTTCAGGGGCTCTTTTTAAAATATTTTTTTTGGCAACTTCTTAGGTTAAAATACCAGCATTTTGAGATAGTCTGAACCTTATAGCTGAGCAAAGGCTTATATACTGTGTCATACAGTATCCTGTACACCTAGTGTCATGAATGTGAATTTTTCAATGTCGTGTGCTGTTTGTTACTTTATGGAAATGTTTGTTGACTTTGTTATCAAGGCCTCAAAAACCTGTGGTGTAGTACGATAGATAGCTAAACAGAGTTGGTAAACTGTACTATCCTTTATCTTTTTAAGTGCAGTCTAATTCTTCACCTGAAAATATTTTTCTTCCTTTTCAGAACTACAAAATTCCACTAAAGTTATAAAAGCAGCAAAACCCAGGACAAGGAAATGCAGCAAGGTTTGTATTTGTCAGAAGGACATTTAGCTATGGGTTACTGAACTGATTGTGTCAGAAATCCCAGTTAATCTTACCTGTTAATCTAAACTGGCATTTAGCTCATGTGGTAGGACTATGAAACAATTTCAACAGAGTATATCTGGTTATAAGTATTTAGTATGGTGAATGTCTGATATTACTGCAATAAGAAGATAGCAAGGTATTTTGAAGTTACAGCCAGGAATGTATTGTTTTGCCTTGGTAAAGGTTAATTTTGAAGGCAGAGAAAAATTGGAAAAGGAAGGGAATTGTAAAATGCTAAAGTGGTGTATGTATGAGGGATAAGGGAAGGGACAGTTCTTTAAAAGAGGAATGGGATTATATAAAAATGGGAAGGGGCTGCAAGGAAACAACATCACTTGAGCACATGTGATACTGAATTGGTTTTGGATATCCTTTTTGTGTATTATGTAGTATGGGTTTTTTCTGGGCTGTTGTAAGAATTACCATTATGACAGTAGGAGGCATCAAATCCTTTTAGTGAAAAATTTTCTAAAATTTTGTACAGCCACCTGTTTTTGGGTCAAATAATATGTGTGCTCGAAGCTTTCCAAAAGCTAGAAGACTTCTTAGCAGTAATACCTTTAAATCATATAGGAAGCTACGTGTTAGACAACAAGTAATCTGACAATTATTTTATAATTATGGTTAAGATGTCTTGGACCTTGATTTGGGTGCAACTGCAGTGAGTAGTTGTTTCTACAACTGATCATACACTTTTCAAAAATTGTGTGGGTTTTGTCTTTTGTATTTCTCAGTTTAAAAAAAATGCTGCTTCTAACAGATACTGCTCAAAGGGGTAGTCTGGCCATATGACTCATGACTGACAACTTCCATCTATAAAAAAGGACTAAATCTAGGAAGTAATATAAATTCTTTGTCATCTTTATAGGGTGGTGATTTTGGTGATATCACAAACTGGCCAACACCAAGTGAAATAGCAAACAATGAAGTAAGTATCCTGTGTTATCTTCAGTATTATGTTTTTTAAAGTCACGTTGACTTCTCTGTTTAACACCTTCCCTCCCAGAATGTGCTTTGAGTGTTGCAGAGCTTCAGCAGAAATTTTTCTAATAATTCAGGATACTGGTTTGTGCTTAACTGTCCACACTGGCAGTGGAATTTCTGAGTCCTTCACAAGCCCACACATACTCTGTTTATCATTAGTGGTGTGCCATGGACATGTAGATAAAAACATGCCATATTTACTCTACCATTTTAAAACTTGTAATTCCCTCTCTTCTCATTGGGAAGCTTATGCAGGGATGGGAAGGCCTTTGGGGTTGTGAACATGCTGTCCTCCTTTGTGGCACAGAATGCTTTGTCATATTGTTTTAGGACAACTTAGTTATCTTTACCCTGTTCCTCTGATATATTTGCTCCTTTCTGGATCCTTAGTTAACTTCTGTCAAATTATCTTTCTTTCACTTTATCTCAAGTGATAAGTGCCTAATGTGTCTTTTAGGCTATTTAAAACAAATTGGAGCACAGATTATTGCAAGCTATAAGGTGCCATTTCACAATCTGCTTTAGTTCTGCTGCACCCCTGTGAAGATTTTTTGTTCAGCAGCGTGCACTGTGTAATTGAAAGTGTCCAAATTAAAACAGAAAAGTAGTGTATTAAGGTGGTTTGGCTTGAATAATTTGTCCTGCAAGCTTACTTTGTCCCTCCCTTCTCCCTAAACTGATTGTAGTAACTTTATTGTTTATGTCAGCAACAAAACATTTTCAGGTGTCTTACCAGGTTGCAGGTCAAATATATAGACATCTGTAGATTTGAGAAAACATTGTGCTAGGTAGAATTTGGCTCTTCTGGTAGCTTATTCTGCAGGATTTATGAGAAAGTCTCTGAGGTTGCTACAAGGATCTTTAAAACCTGAGTAGATTATATGCAATAAATTAATGCTTGTTCACTTGCTCACATAACAGAATACTTCAAAGTGTGCATACACATCGTGGTTTAGGATTTATAGAAGATCCTTGATTTGACCTTTTTTGTGTGTTTATAAGCTTCTCCATCATCAGTATGCCTGTCAGTTTCTGAGGTGTTGTGAATGGAAGAGACTACCTCTTCAGGAAATGGGAGTATATTTAACAATCTCATGAAGGACACCTGAGCTGCATTCTAAAGCTGCTAATCTATCTGGTGGCACTGGAGCTGTATAATTCTCAGCTGTACATCTGGCTCCTTTCTTAGTTACTCATGAGATCAGAAAGAATTTCACCTGTGCTTTTTATACCTCAGCTGAACAGTCTAGTAACTCCAAAATGCTGTTCTTGAAGAGAGTGTGGTCAGTTCCACTATGCAAAACTTTTGTAACTTTTCAGAGACTACTGTTGTAACATGAGATACAGTGCAGAGAATCTGGGTAACTGTGTCAAATTTTGTTTGTATTTTCTATCATATTTGATGCTCAGAAAAGGAGAGGCTCTGCTTAGCTGACGTCTGAGAGGATTAAATTTTATATCCTAGAATCATGGAATCATATCCTTTAGTATATTTGTAAATGCTGATGTTGATCTGTGACTAAGTCTAGAATACGCTTATTTTAGCATCTTTTTTCTCATTTTGGAAATACTGATTTTAGTGACTTGAGAGAACATGGATATGTATCTTTGGCGTTCTCCTTAGCACTGCAGGTCTTTAATGTACTTGCTTATGTCAAATTTTGATATGGTTAATGGTGTCTGTACAGTACAAATTTTAGTGGCTGAGAGATACATATGTAGTGTTTCATAAGAATATACACATTCATTGTTTTCTGGCTGAAACAGTCTGCTTTTAAGAGTGTTGTTTTAAAAGATTTGTTATTTACCAGATGCTTTAGATTGTATAGCATAGATGTCAATTAACCTTGTGCTGACTGAAGTATGTGAGAATTTTAGTGTACAAATTCATGTAGTGTCTGTTAAACCAAATAACGTTAGCTTGTGTTTATTTTCAATTATTTGTCTGTGGGAAGGCTTTGTGTTCAAACAAATTATGGCATAATACTGCAGTATCTGTATGTACTCTAGCAGGTTTAGAAGCTATCTCTACAACACTTTTCTTTCTGTTTGGCAGACATGTCTGCAAAGCTTAATTTTGCAGGTAGTTATATCAGATTATAGAATTTTTTGGGTTGGAAGGGACCTTTAAGCATCATATAGTCCAAACCCTCTGCAGTGAGCAGGGCTGTCCTTAACCAGATCAGGTTGCTCATAGCCCTGCCCAACCTGATCTTGAATGTTTCCAGTGATGGGGCATCTGCCATCTCTCTGGGCAACCTGTTAAGTGTTTCACCACACTCATTGTAAAAAAAATCCTTCTTGTACCTAGGCTAAATCCACCCTCTTTTAGTTTAAGAACCATTACCCCTTGTCTTATCGCTACAGGACCTGCTAAAAAGTCTGTCCCCATCTTTCCTATAAGCCCCCTTAAAGTACTAGAAGGCCACTATAAGGTCTCCCTGAAGCCTTCTTTTCTCTGAGCTAAACAACCCCACCTCTTGCAGCCTTTCTTCATAGAAGAGGTGTTCCATCTCTCTAATTTTTGTGGCCTTCATCTGGACCTGCTCCAACAGCTCTGTATCGTTCCTGTGCTGAGGGCTCCAGAGCCAGACCCAGTACTCCAGGAGTGGTCTCACAGGAGCTGAGCAGAAGGGCAGAACCATCTCCTTAACCTCCTGGCCATGCTTTGTTTGATGCAGCCCAAGACACATTTGGCTTTCTGGGCTGCAAGGGCACACTGCTGGGTCATGTCCAGCTTTTCATTCACCAGTACCCCCAAGTCCTTCTCCACAGGGGTGCTCTCAGTCCCTTCATCCCTGGGTCTCCATTGATACTGGAGAAAAAAAATTAATCTTTCCCCTATTTGCTAAAATGTTGTTCATTTTGACTTCTTTGAAAGCTGTTATTCTGTGGGATTTCCAAGAAGTGATGATCTGCAGGATGCTGGAACTACTCCAAGGCACACAGTTCCCAGTAAATGCCACATTCTAATGTGGGGGAAAAAAAATCTTTAATCATATACCTCCACATCTTCTGATCTTTGGTTCATGTTGTGATTTAGTGGGACAGAATTGTCAGACTTAAGACCTATGGATCCTTGTAGTTTCCCTGAACATTTGGCATGCTGTTGAGTTAATACAGCATAATGGGAATTTCTCATTTACCATTCAGTACTCTGCAAGCACAGCATTTTGAAGGTAATCAGTCTGAACAGTATGTACTAGAGAGTAATACTTTTCTTTCCTATCAAGTAACTTTCAAGTCTGAGGTATTGAAATGTGATTGTTGTGCACTCTGCAGTTCTTCAGGTAAAAAACCCAAACAACAACTTTATTGATATAAAAAATCTTTTTATAGTCTCACCAAGTTAGCAGAAAACAGAACTATTTAAAATGAGACTTTACAAAACAACACAGTTATTAAAACCTGCCTTACTGAAGAGGTTGAGAATAGGTAGAGGAACTGTAATAGGTAAAGCAAATTTATACCATTTTTGCTGTCATCAGCTGTACTGCCAGAAGTCATTTCTATTATCTCTTGCAGTGTAAGACTGTAAGTCACAGTAAGAAGCCAACAAATAGAAGAGAAAAGGAAGAGAAATCTGATCAAAAAAGCAATAATGGAATCAAGGACAACCCAGAGGCAAAGCCTGATGGTCCAGGAGATAATATTAGTGAAGATGAAACTCAAACTAATAATCAAAGGAAAAAAGGTCAGTCTGGGCACTGTATAATGCAACAAATCACCATTGATGCAGTTAAATTAATTCCAGTTGAACAGCATGAAACTGCTTTGCGTTTTCTAGGTGATAACAGGTTATATTGCTTTCTGCTAAGAAGCTTAAAACAGGCTTTCTCACGTTTTGGATTTTTTTGTTTAATCAAATGGGAATTCTGGGGAAAGAGCAGCTCATGTCCTCCTGGTGCTCTGTGGAGCTTTGACAGTTTCTGGAACATTTTAGCATAGCTGTACAAACCATTACTACTACTCACATCTTTATTATGCTAACTAGATAGAGCTATGTGACTTTAATTTTGTATATACTGGCATTTAAATTTTCATGTTTTACTAGTAGCTTACACCTTGAGGTGATCACTTGAAAACTAAACCAGGTTATTATTTCCTTTTGATCCAACCAGTTACATTAAAAATTAGAAGCAAACCTGCTTCTCATTTGGTCACTACAGTGGAGTAGGCTGGAGAAAGAGCTGAGAGAGTTTTAAGATATTGCCACCATCAACTGCTTCTTTTTTTTTCCTTCTCTGCTGGCATTTTTTCAGATCCTAAAGATATTTGGTTTTTAGATTTGTTAATCCTCCTATGTATATATTTAAAAACAAATCATTTGTTGCTTTTTATTTTTTCAGTCTGAGTGAAAATCTATCCCAGTGTGTATAACACATTTTATGTATTTGTCTTTATTTCTTAGCTACAAAGGTATATAGTCCACAATATCAATCAAGTATAGAACAGCAAATATAATCAATAAATAAATGGTTAGTGGGTATTTTAGATCAGCCTACAACAAAATGCAGCTTTGCTAATAATTTTTGATGCACATGGGTGAACTTAATCTGAATATCTTATGCTAAAAATACAGTACCACAGCTGAATTCTCAGGAACATTTTTATGTTTTGTGATTGAAATCTTTTTTTTTTTTGAGGTTAACTTGTTGTTTCATGTTTTACCTTTAAGTTTCATGTGCAAGTTGTGGAATACTATACTTGTATATTTAACACTTATGTAACTAAATGATTGGTAATGGAGCTTATATTTAAGAATTGATTAAATAACAAAGCTCATCTTCATTTCATATATTTGAAGTTTAGGTAAGGTTGTCTTTCAATTTGAGAAATTCCTGTTTACTGCATTTATTATTTTTTAATAATTCATCATATCTTAAAATTCCAATCTTAAGCTTCTCTCAGTTTGTAAACTTTGAAATTCACTGTTACTAGTTCTTCAGGATGAATTCTTTAGGGTCTTCTCAGGAGCTGAAACCTCAAGTAGAGCTATAATTTAGAACAATATATTAACTTTTCAAGGTAACAAGCAGAAATGGGTGCCACTTCACCTGGATGATGTAAGGTCAGACAGTCAAGAAAGACCAGGCTCTCGAACTAGCTCAAGATTTCTGCTGGAAACAAGCAAGTTGGTATCTCATAACAACAGAAGGAATGAGACAAGAAGTAAGTAGTTTTCAATATCTGGGGCTTTCTATTTCTGGCAAATAAAGTGTAATACCACTTGAGTAGGCATTAGATTGGCAGTTGATGTTGAAACTTGACTTTGACTGTACTAAGTAAAACCTAGTGTTAATATTTGCCTAGAAAAAGCAAAAAATAAATGCATTGTACCATAGTGTAACCAATTCTAAATTGTAAAGTTTTGTTTAAATACTTACTGGCACATTTTTTTTTAACTTCTTCACAAATCAGTCAGGATTGTAATGTCTCAATCCCTGACCCTGCTGAGGAACTGAATTTGGAAACAACCTACCTTTGCAGTGTGTGCTGAATTGGAGCAGGGTGAATTTTTTTCTTCATAGCTCCCCACTGAGTCTTAAGTCACAGCTTTGCAAGTTTGCAATAGTCTCACAAGGTGGCCAATCAGTCCTGCTCTACTGCTGTGCCTGCAGCTTGTTGCTACTAAAGCAATTGCTTGTGGACCTACACATTGAGCCCTGCTTTGGCAATTCTGCCAGTTGTTTTTTCCTTTAAGTTGGACCAGTTCCTGCAGTTCCACAGCCTGTCTGGCACTATGGTCATACAAAAAGTTGTGCTAACACAACAGAGGTAGAGTTGCACCACAGCTGGTACTGCTTCTGGTCCTCAGGTGTTCTAAATACAGAACTTCAAGGCTCTGTTGATCTGAGACCAGTTTCAGTGTGAGAAAACAAAACTTCTCTTGCTCTTCAGGAACATTGTGTGTTTAAATTAAAAAAACAAACTAGTTTCAGGCTTAAACAAAACATTATCTCATGAAAGTGCTGTATGTGGGGCTTTTGCATGTGTCTGAGCCACATGTACTTTCAGAGTGCAAAAATGAAGCTGATTTGGGGAAATAGTCCAAATAATGCCTACAGACTTGGAATCTCTAAGGTTGAGAGTAGCAAGTGTGAAGGCTAAGGTCCAAATTTCCAGTGAGATAGACACAGATTATGATATATTAAAAAGTTCAGTCTTATTTGACAGGAAGTGCAGGAATTTGAGTGTATAAGTGTATATATTTTGTTGTAGGGTTCATTAAAAATAGTTGCGAGTAAAAGATGATTATTTCTAATACAAAAAAAAATAACATGCTTAGTCAGTCCTTTGTAAATTATGAACTCTCAATTTGACCAAGTAGAGGCTGTATCCCCAGGCATTCCTCTGACAAGGTGGGCCCTGAGCATTACAATTTAAAGAAACTTTAAGCAAGCGTGACTGACTAAAGGTGGAAGTTTCTGAGAGTATTAAGAAAAGAGAAGGAAATGGTGCGAGAGTGGGCTTAATTTTCTCACATGAGTAAACTGAGAATTACAGCTGTCTTTAAGATCTGTGGCGAGTGAAGCGAAGGTCCTTGGGGTCTGGTTTTGTCATGTTTGCTTTTCCTTCTACTCTCTAGTTCTCTTTTGCTGTGTGGAGACCACATATTTATATGAAAACCTTTCATAGATTCTTACAGTCATTTTAGTTTTGCATGTGTTAGCACAAAGGGGTCCTTAGCTTAAAAGCTCAGTTTGGGGTGCAGCCAGCCGAGAACAATTGCTGTTAAATGGGTAGAACAGGGAGAGGGATAGGCCTGCTTCTGGGAAGCAAAAGGGAGGCTGCAGAGAGCCATTGCCATGGAAAACTGACCCAAGCAGGATCATCAAGAGCTAACAGCTCCTCCTAGCTCTCTGTAGGTAACAGGACTTGTCCACAGGAGGAGATTGTACTATCATGCCTGGAAGGAGGATTGCGTGATCATTTCTTCCTGTACCGAGCTGATCACAGGTATTGTGATCCCTGAGCTGGCACCAGTGTCCATTTGCTTCAGAAGCATTTGAGGTGGGCCAGTCAAGCCACTTTACTCTTCTTTATTGCTAACAGCTTCTGCTGACATGCCCTCAGGCACAGCTGGGCAAACCTTCCCATTTCACCCTTGCAGCTTCAGATCTGATCTTCTGTTGCAGCCCACGTAACTGAGTCAGTGTTACAAGGGACATTTTGTCACTGTGATACTTAATTATGATTATTACATGTTTTTCTCTTAAAGATTGGCGTCGTGATAGAGAAAAGAGAGATGACCACGATGAAGTGTGCAGTGTGAGAAGTGAGGGTGGCAGCGTTCGAGGATCCTCCAGAGGCAGAGGAAGAGGACGAGGCAGAGGAAGAGGAAGAGGCAAAGGAAACAATAGAAGTATGCAGAGAAGTAGATGCTTAGCAAAAATTTTAAAATCATGTTTGTGATGATATTGTTTGCACATGAAGTAAGAGTTGTCTCAAAAAGCATATCCTGTAACTTAATATAATTAAGTAGCTTGAGTCTTTTAAAATTCAAATACTGAGAAACAACTGTAAAGTAGCAGTGTTTATCATGCCTTAATATTTGTGTCCTGGACTTAATATTTTTCATCTTTTTTTTCTTTTATATTCTCCTTTATTTTGAAGTGAACTTTGAATATTCAATTGGTTATCAAGAACTGTATGGTGAAGGAACTGACCAAGTTTTTCAACCTGAGCTTAATGCTAGTGTGATGTATTACTATGGCGATGGAACAGGAGTGCAGATGTACTCTGTGGATGAAGCACTTCTCAAAGAATATATAAAGCATCAAATGTGAGTTGATTGTTTAATTTACAGATATTTTTAGATACCTAGTTAAGATGAAATAATTCAATCAGTGTTTAATCCATATGATCCATATAAAGATGGAGATTAAAGGATTTCAGTGTAACTTTTTGATTTGATCATTACCAGTGTCAGTTTGAATTTATTCACTAGTGGGGTGGAAAAACTTCAGTGATGGGGAGGAATTTTAAGGAAGCTGTTCTGCATCTTGTGCTGTAGGCTGGCTCTAACTCGTATACCTGCTTTATTTATGGTACATAGCCCTCTTTTTATGTTGTCATGTAATTGAGATATGGATGTCTCTGAGCTTGTGCTTTTGAGTACTGTTGGTCTGTTTGCCTATAAAGCTCTTCTTGGGTGATGTAGCTAGACATTTCCCTTATTTGCTCTCAATTTCACTTGGAGAAGTCTTGTTAGTTTTATGTTTTCAGTGTTTCACCTGAAGCGTTTAACTGAAAGAGAGTAGTTTTGCAATGATACTTGATTTTTCAATAATCTGAAATGTTTACTTTCTCATGTACACCATTAGGCAATGAGAAACCATCTGGAAGACTGATTATCACCAGGAGACAAGTCAAAAAGGGCCTGGAAACCACTAGTTCATTTTAAAGAGACAGTTTCCACCACTGGCAGATATTTCATCTTCTATACTTGCAATGGCATTTGTCTGCGATGCCTTTGTGGTGGTTTTTGATTGCCCTTGTATTCCATAAAGCAACTTGCTTATTTTATTCTTGCTTCTTTTGTTACAGTTGACGCAAAAAGGAAGAAAAAAGCCTCTTTAAGGGCAGAAAGTATCTGACATGTGGCTATCAACTTCAAAACTTCTATTGCAGTCTTTTTTTGTTACTCTTGCTGCCAGGCCCCTATGAGACCTGACAGTGGACATGTACCCCCATGTCAGGATAATCGGCCTGCACTGTCCTCAGACAAGTGAGGGAGGAGCGCAGACTGTTGGCCAGATTTCTGGGCATGCAGTGTAGAATCCAGACCTTCTAAGGTAGGACATGATGATGTCCCCCTCTGCTGAGAAAAAATGTCAGTTAAAGCATTGGTCACATCTGACTTCTGGTTATATTTGTATTTTATTGTAGCAACAAGAGGTTGGCAGGTGTCAGTAGAAGACTTGGCATGGCTGACTAACCAGAGCCACTGGTTGCTTGTCTGATATGAATTCCTGAGGCAGTTTGATTACGGAGTTTGCTTTCTGTGAGAGAGAGGGAGATTCTTGAGCAGGTTTAGAACAGAACTTCACTTTTTTGTTCCTTTAAAAAAACAAAACAGGTGTTTAATCTATTAAATTCTTTTATCACATTAAAAATTATGAGCAACAGACTTTATTCATCAATTACCTATTAATAGCTTCTAAATGGGGATGGTTTTGTCCATCTTTTATAATGTAGTTATAAAATATTAAAGTAACCATACCAAAGAGGAAAGTACATACAGAATAAAGCTACACAGAGCTGTTAGGTCTCAGAGTTCCATATGGAGTCCAAGATAAGTAAAAACATATGAAAGAAGTGACATTGGTTTGAATCGTAGTGAATCTATGAATTTAAAACAGTTTACATGCTTAATAGGAAAAAATCTTGAGACGGTGTCCAGCTGAATTGATGTGAAATCACAGTAAGAAGTACACTGCTATCGAGCAGTTTATGCTTATCCCAAGAGCAGCTTGATGTACAAGCAAGAGTAAAACTTATATTACAGACAAAAATATCTTCAAGGTTTTAATTGCAGGCTGAAGTTGTCAGCCTGAGTAGTTTCTGCACTTAGCAACTCCTCAGTCTGCAACATGCAGTAGAACTCTAAAGTCCCTTTTAAAAGCAAAATAAATAGATTTAAGTTCAGACATGTCTCCAAGTCTGCATTGGTTCAGGAATAAGTGAAGGGACTCCAAGGAAAATGAAAAAGAAAAGCTGGAATTGGGGGTGTGTGTGTGTTTAGGTTTTTCCCTCTACTTGAAGCAAACCTGTGCATTGTCTTAATTTATCATTAATGGTTTTCACATTCCTTTTTCTAGAGTGATGGACATCAAATGAGGCAGTGTGAGTCAAGTTCAGTCATTGTCCATTTCTGCTTGTGGAATTTTTAACTAGGTGAATCGTTACAAGGCTTTACCTTTACTTTATGACTGTAAAGGTAACGTTAGTAAAATGTTGATACTTGGCTTTTGTGCTTGCTTATCTTCTAGACTGGGAAGGAAAAAAGGAATGTAGCAGTTTAGAACAGTAAATAGGATATTCTTGAAAGAAACCTTCTCTTTGTGCACAGTTGCTTCACTGATCAGTTTGTTTAGCTCTTCTGAGTAGGAGCTTAATTCTTCAGAAGACTCATTCTCTTCTCTGTTTCCTCTGATTTGATGGCAGTGTTTTCATTTGTTGTATGTCTTATTGTCCAACTTTGAGACTTTATATTCATTCTGTCTTGGAGCTGAGTGTTTCATACAGAGAGCTTTTGCTTTGGTTTTCTTTAGCTACCAAAAATTAGAGAGAGAAATTGTGTCAAACTTCTCCTTGGGTCAATGATAGCATCAGAGTCCTCTCGTCTTGGTAATCTTGACCTTAACCCCAAGTTCAGTTGAGACACTTAGCATTTTATAATTTGTTGAAATTAGAATTAACTTTATTTACGTTTGCATGTGGGTGGGTGCTTTTTCTCAGCATTTTAATGCTCTCTTGTTTTATTTTTGCACTACTTCTGTTCATTTGATGTAAAATTTTAATTGCTCTCCATTAAATATTTCACTGCCTACATTTTCCTGAGCCTGATAAGGAGTAGTATTCCTTGAAAGTAACACACAAAATCATGGTATGATGTGTTAACTCTGTGAAAGGCCTAGATTTTAGTAGTAATGATTAAATTGGGTTTTTTCCATTCTTTTTCATAGAATGTTTTCTTGTTCACTTGTTGTGTGTGACAGATCATGATTTGAATTCCTTACTTTTCTTCACCACGTATAACATGTCTTGACACCCTGATGGTTTCATAGAGCAGCCATATTGTTTAAGAAGATTTGTCTTTCTGCTGCTTCTTTGTCCCTTGTGTCTCTTGTTTCTGTGGTATTGTCAGATTCCTGAAATGGTCCTTGTCCCTCTTCCCTTTATCCACTAAACATCATATCTTCTTTTAGACTTTAACTTTTTCCATGAACTGTTGTGCCTTTTGGTACAGTTTCATGACAAATACAACATGACTATTTTTTGTTTTCTCATCTTCCCACAAGCATGCTTGAAGTAATGAGTCTGAGTGCATGTATGTGCCTCAACACTCAGATAGGATACTTACACCTTCTTAGGTACTGGAAACTGAGAAAAGCAAAGGTACAGTTCAGGATATTGCTGTGTGGGGAATAATAGTGCCCTGACTATAAGCAGTAGTTGTCCTTCATCTAAATGGAGGCTAAGAGAATGCTGTGTCCTTCTCTTCATGTAAGTAATAAGGGAGGGGATGGGTGAAAGAAAAAAAATAAGGCAGTTTTTTGCTTATATAGTCAATATATGCAAATGTTACAAGGCTTTGTTTTATACTTTACTGCACTGCATCATAAGACTGTCTTAACATGTCAAGCATATGTGCTGCTCTGTAAGTCTTGCTTACAGTGATACACCTGTTTAAAATAACCAGTTTTGTTAATGACAAAGTATGCTCTGTTTTTAATGGAAGACTTGACCAAGGAATCTCTTAAGTTGCTATTTTAGGATTTTCTTTAAGCTATAGTAGGCTCATATTTGTATGTTTCTTTCTGCAGTGAGTATTATTTTAGCACAGAAAATTTGGAAAGAGACTTCTTTCTGAGGAGAAAGATGGACCAGCAAGGATTTCTGCCTGTTTCATTGATTGCTAGCTTCCGTCGTATGCAAGCTCTCACTACAAATGCTGCACTCATTTTGGAGGTAAAATAATTTGGAAGTATGTATGTAGAAAGTGGCTTGGCTAATTTGTACTGCCAATTTCATATAAAGTTAAGAAAAAATTCTGTTTGCAATGACAAGGATTTTATAGAGAGGCTATAAATGGCAAAGTTTGTGGGGGTTTTTCCTTTTTGGTTGGTGCCAGATATTTTAAGTTTTTAAAGTGGTAATATTCTTGTCACACAGGCCCTAAAGGACAGTACAGAAGTTGAAACTGTGGATCAGAGGATAAGAAAAAGAGTTGATCCAGAAAAGTGGCCAATTCCAGGTCCTCCTCCAAGCAGTCTGCCACCAACTGACTTTTCTCAGCTCATCAATTGTCCAGAATTCATACCAGGCCAAATTTTTGGCTCGCATACTGGTAAAGGATTTATTTTATAGAAACATAATTTTAGGACTGTCTGTCTAGCTTAGGAAGTTTGCCTCTTGATACTGATTTCATAACAGAAGTTGTACATTTGGTAACTGTTTGTTCAGCTGGTATGCCTGTCAGCCTTGCAGTTGCCAAGTCACATGGCTGGCATGGCTGATGTGAAGTAGATCAAAATGTCTTGTGTTATGGCTGTGACCGTTCTCCAGAATATAGCATGATGGACTACAGCCCTTTAGTGGTAGTAGTAGTGGAAGTAGTAATAGTAATCTTGTTAGTCATAAAATTGCTGCATTTTGATGTGGCTGAAAGTTAACTCTTTATTTGGGCCATCCTGATTTTGGATGGGGTACCTCATGCTATTAACAGGGAGATGGCTTTGTTCACTGACAGCACTTGGCAAGGAAATCTCTTACTACAATATTGTCTGGAATTCAATGGGAGGAATGAAGACTGAGTTAGGCACCCGTCCATAAAGCCAGAGAGAGGATGGTGTGGAGAAAACATGTCACTAATGATGCTGTTCTTGTTTTCTGAATAACACAGAATTTATCTCAGACTCTTAAAAACTTTCCACATAAATAAATTGCTAGAATCAATCTTTTCCTAAAATGTGGAGTGAACTGTGAAAAGCTGTCTCCTAAAAATGAAATGAGATTCTTGCTCGTCAGTATAACTTTTAATCAGAGAGGTAGAAATAAGGTAGTTGTGGTTCAAAGAAGGATTAGTGAAACAATTTTAAAAACACAACACAACATACAGCAGTAACTGAACTACTCTTTTCCCCTGCTAGAGTCAGCACCGAATTCTCCAAGAATGGGAAGTGCTCTGAATCCAAAGGAGAACACTGAAACGAGTAATTTTCAGACAATATCAAAAGGATTGTCTACAAGTTTGCCTGATTTGGACTCTGAACCTTGGATAGAAGTGAAGAAGAGGCATCATACATCCACAGTCAAACTAAAGGTGAAAACAAAAGCCTTTAAGTTATTTTTAAATAAACAAATGCAAAATCAGCCAACTTCAACACTATACTGTAAAACAAGATTTTTCATGTCTTAATGTACAAGATGCTTGATAATGCAATACAGTCAGTGTGCCTGCTTCTCACTCTGCCACACCTAGAATAGCTAAGTGTATTTAAGATCCTGATGCAAGTCTCATGAAAATGAAATACTGATATATTTTTTTTCTGCTGAGGGACAGTTGTACCTGGTGATTATTGAAAAATGTATTGAAACCTGCATTGAGAATTGTTCTAAGAGCTTATGACAGAATAATTTGTAACAGTAATTTACTTCGTAAACATCTGAAAGTGGCTGTATTATTTCTAATTTGCATACCTTCAAGTGTTGAAAATGTTCTCTTGTGGTCTATTCATCTCCCATTTGGATAATCACTACCCGAGTAAAATACATAATGGATCCCCTTTTCCACCTTAGGACAGCGTTCCTGTATCTGATCAAACATCAGACCACCAACAGCCACCCCTGCCTTCAGAGGAACAAGAGCAAGAAGAACTTGATTTCTTGTTTGATGAAGAAATGGAACAAATTCAGAGGCAGAAGAATAAATTTACTGATTGGTCAGACAGTGATTCCGATTATGAAATTGATGATCAGGACATAAACAAGATTTTGATTGTAACACAGACACCACCATATCTGAGAAAACATCCTGATGGAGATCATACTGGCAATCACATATGCCGTGCAAAAATCACATCAGAACTTGCTCAAGTTATTAATGATGGCTTATACTACTATGAACAGGATTTGTGGATGGTGCAGAGTGAAAACGAAAATGACACTTTGATGAAGGTAACTCTCTTCTTTTTTTGACCTGAAAACCATGCCTGTCCAAACAGATAAAAAAATAATTTCAGCCATCTGGTACTTAATTGTAAAATGCTACACTTCTTTGAAGGAAAACTGACAGTAGTTGGATTTATATGTCTATTGATTTATTTTAATAATGCTGTAGGCAGTTGAAAGCAAAACCAGCAAGTTTTTTCTTGTCACAGATTTGACCAAAACCTTTGAATGAATATTTTTAAGAGCTATTTTTAACTTTTTGGAGGTGGTTCAACATTTCAGTGTTTCCTTATTCTATGAATAGCTTGTCTCCTAACATTAGCAAACCCCTGCTATAGGGGTTGGGGACATTTTCTGAGATGTGATAATAAGAGAGGGGAAGGGAGTGTAGTCATTTTAATGCAGTTTTATATTGAGGTTCTGTTTGCCTTGTAGCTTGTTAGTGTGATAGCTCTGTGAGCATACTTTGGATTGCACTGATTTTATTATAGAAACCTTTTTATTTCCTAGCCTGTATGTGGCCATCTGTCTTTGAGGCTTTCAAAACTTTGCAAGGAGGTTGTTTTAATGTACTAAGCAGCCATAAAATTACAGAATCATTGAACTCCAGCACTGCATAGGTCAGCATGGCACACTGCAATCCTGTCACTTACTGCTACTTGTTTATTAAGAAACCCCTTCTTTCATCAGCATTTCTGTAGGCAGTTGCACTGTATCACAAGTGCCTGAAAGAGTCCAGCGCAGAGCCACAAAGATGATGGAGTGGAACATCTCCCTTATGAGGAAACGCTGAGGGATCTGTGTCTCTTTAGCTTGGAGAAAAGGAGACTGAGGGGTGACCTCATCAATGTTTACAAATCTGTTAAGGGCAAGTGTCAGGAAGATGAAGATGGAGTTAAGCTTTTTTCAGTGATGTCCAGTGATAGGACAAGGGGTAATGGATGCAAACTGGAGCATAAGAGGTTCCATGTGAATATCAGGAAGAACTTCTTTACTGTGAGAGTGACAGAGCACTGGAACAGGCTGCCCAGAGAGGTTGTGGAGTCTCCTTGGCTGGAGACATTCAAAACCCGCCCGGACACGTTCCTGTGTGATGTGCTCTAGGTGATC